ATGCCGCTTTTTGTTTGCGCAAAATTAATTGTTGTTTTAATCAGCTTGTCGATACAATCTTTTTACTGGATATTGTTCTTTTATTTTTTGCCCTTTTTCACTTTTTAGAACGAATAATTCCTATTTACTCTTTGCAACTTTTTACTGAGTAAAAGTTGCTGGGAAAGTAAACGAACGAACCTAATATTTATATGCGAATTAACCTTAATTTTTTTAAAATTGTAATTGGAAATTTGATAATGTTTTTGTTTTTTTAGGTCTACAATGCACTGTGCACTCACAACTGGTATAAACAGACGTTTAAAAATTATCCCAGGAAAAGGAAAGCTATACTACCGCTACTTTTCTAATATGTTCGGCATGCGTGTTGCGCAGCAACATTCTAGAATAATAGTTATAAGTCCTGGAAAGTAAAAGTACTTCAAAAGCGAGTTTAAACTACGAAATCCACTCGAACCCAAATGTCAATTCCATAGCGTATATGTCAAGTAAATCCAATTCTTAAATACAGTGAATTTTATATGTATACCAAATAAATAAAAAATATAAAATAAATACATCCATGGTATAATAATTACAAGGTAGAACATAGCTAACAACTGATTAAAACCTTTATCAAGGTGGCTTGTTCTATAAAATTTAAGTACTTTCCATGCTCGGTATAATGAATAATCAGTTTAACGATTTCAGGTATAACAAATGAGCAAAATGTTGGCATTCTAACCTGACTACTTCAGGATAATGCTAAAATAATTGGGTTGTCTTATAAAAAATATGTAAGCATATTATATTAAATAATACAGTATTTTTCGGTTAATTGAACCTACGGTTAATTGGTTTCCACGCTTAATTGAACCTCATGATGGGTCAAAAATATTTCATTTCATAGTAAGCGGGTTCGGATAATTGGTTCCTCGGTTAATTGAACAAAAATTTGTGCAAATTTTGATGTGCAATTAACCGAAAAATACTGTATATATTTTTTAGAAATCAATTTAAATGCGGATTATCTATTTTTCGCAATAATGTCATATATATTTGACAGAAGCCCTTACCTATAGAGTTTTTTTCATCTAATTCATATTTTCGATAAAATAAAGGAAACTTGTTATCGTACTAAAAATTTGTTCTGGAAAAATAATATTTTTATTACCTTTTATTAAATTATAAAATAAATGGTATAATAGCTTTTCTATTATGTGGATAATTTGTTAAATTTTCCATATACCAAACGTGTGTCTGGATTGCAATATAAATCTGAAAATTATATTAGATTTTAAATATAAAAGAAAGTTATATGACAATGGATAAGTTTACCTGATTGCTTAAAATTGAAATTAACATAAACCAACATGTAACACTTTTGACTAAAAATCCAAAAAGTAATGAAATATATAGACCAATTTCATAGAGCATATGAGGCGATGACACCCATTCAAAATAACCACCTCTTGGGAGCAGATGTTTTTCCGTGACCACTCTGCCCGAGTTGTTATCCTTTCGTAAACGTATCAAAATTAAATTTGATTGATATTGATGCCACCAACAAAATAAGAATACCAAAATTGAAATGACCTGGATTATTGAGAGCGTGGATAAATCAATGGGAGAGGCAATGGAACCTTGAATAGATGAAATTATAAAATTCTGTTATTTTAGAGCCAACAATAGAAAAATTATTATAACTTACCTTTGACGAATCCTTCAGCATTGGCTACCAGCACGTGTATCAACACAAAATAGTATAATAACGACAATAAATAATGTTTAACATCTAAACGACTATTGGTGGAGAATATTTGTATAAAAATTGTCTCATATGCCCGACGTAGACATTGGAGAGCCATCAGTATTGTGACAATTAGACATTCAGTTGAATTTAAAATAATTTTACGATTTTTACCACCAGCAAGTATGCTAATTAATATTTCAATATGTTTTGGTAACTTATTTTGAAAGATGGTCATATCGAGAATTAGCCAAATGTACCACGTTGATACAATTGAACCTAATATATAGGCATGTGAAATCCATGATTTATGTACTGTCAATATTGATGTTTTCGAACTGTATGCTGCATATTTGCCGAACAGGAAAAATGTCTTTACACTTTTAGGTAATTTGATTCGAGTAAAGTGCATTAGAAATGCACCAATTATTACAAATGCACTTATTGCTAAAAATATAATATTTAAAAGATTTATATTCCAAGTTTCTATGAAATAAACAATGGTTTCCAAATCACTCGCGGACATAATGAATTTTGTATTTACCGATGTGCTATTGTCTTTCGAATACGAAGTAACGCAATGACTTTACAACATAATGGGGAGATAATTTTATTATCGGTATATGTAAATTTCATTATGTAAATTAATTGTTTTAATTAAAACAAGTTTATGTTTGAAAATGTAATAATAGATAAAATGTGTGCATTAATTGTTTATACCCTACAATGTAGGGTCCTCCTTAGGTCCTACATCCACTACGAGGACAATATAGAATATTAGACTTTTTTACATTTTGGGTTTTATTAAAAAATATTCCACTTTGGCTTTGGATAATATCGATGTTATGCAATCAGGTAAATACATCAATTAATATTTAACTAACATGTGTACCTAACAAACCTTTATATTTAAAATTTGATATATTTTCCAGTTCTATGTATATTGCAACCCAAACCGAACGAGGTTTCAGACTAGATAACTGTTTGTCGTGTGATATCTTTAACATCCTGCTGAAAAAGGTCATATGAGAGGCAAAGGTGAACAGATATTACACTCTGTACACCAAACAACACATGTTACTCTCCTACGCATACGACCCCGACGTAATGGGTCGAACATTGCGCCACCTTTGGACAAATTGAGAAGGAGTCTGCCAAAGTGGGTCTGGCAGTAAATGGCGAGAAGTTCAAGCTGATGGTATCAACGCGCAAGACGTCCAGTAGACTCGGACCAATTGTGGAACTTGAGAACTACAGCTTCGATGTAGTTAACGATTTTTTATACCTTGGTACCGCCATAAATAAAACTAATGACATTAGTTTTGAAATTCGGGGAAGAATAGTGTTGGCCACCAGATGCTACTATGGTCTAAGTAAGCAGTTTAGAAACAAGGCCACCTCCCGCCAAATCGAAGCATAGGTACTTACGTAAGCAGATGAGGCAGCTTTTGGGGTGTTTGAGAGAAAAATTCTCCTAAAAATCTACGGGGCGATCTGCGTAGACAGTGAATATCGGTATCGAATGAACTACGAGCTTTACAATATATACGCGGACATCGACATAGTCAGTCGTATTGAGCTGAAGCGTCTACGGTGGCTAGGCCATGTTGTGCGAATGAATGAGAATGCCCCAGCTCAAAAGCATATAAAAGCGAGCCTACTGATGGTTCACGCAGAAGGGGAAGACCACGAATTAGATGGAAATACCAAGTAAAAGACACTAATTGGAGGAGTGGCGCACAAGGCCGACGCGCTTGAAAATCTTTTTTAGGCTCGGCTTATGGAACAACCGTTCTGCAAAAAAGCCAGCTAAGTAAGTAATAATAAAAGCAAGTTTAGACTACTAAATCCACTCGATCAAACGTCAATTCCACAGCGCATACGTCTTCTTCACAAATCCAGTGGATTATATAAGGTTGGGGAAAAGAAGTCCATTATTTTTATATAAACTATAGGACTTTATTCTCCGATTTGGACCAAATATGCAACGTTTTGTTGTATGATTTGTTGCCACTTTTAAAGGTAACTTCATAATTCCTCTCTCACAGAAGTCCTGCTCTCTATTTGTAAAAAACTCTAGTAGTCAATTTTCGCAATCCTCTCTAGATACCAATTTTTTATCATTAAAAAAATTTTGCAATCCAAGAAAAAGGTGATAATCGCTTCGTGCCTAATCCGGACTGCATTAAAATTTCCCAACCAAGCTCCCGAGTCACTGTAGATGTGTCTGGCCTAACGTTGTCCCGGTGGAACCCAACACCTCTCCTTTTGGCCAAGTCTGGCCGTTTCTGGTCATTTGTAAATGGTTTAAAATAGTTTTATGATCGAATTTTAGCTCCTGGGCGATATTATGACTGCTAACATGCCGGTCAACTTCAATCATTTCTCCGATATCTGTGCGAGGTGCACCTTTAACATCAAAAATTCCTTAACGGAATCTTCGAAACCGAGATTGCACATAATTGGATGTTAAGGTATCGGAACCATAAACATCATTCACAATTTCAGCCGCTTGGTTTGCATTTTTTGCTTTTGTCAAAGAAAATTTGTAAAATGTGCCGAATTTTCTTTTGTCCACTTTCCTGTAACTCACAACTGAATGCACCAAACAAAAATGCAAAATAATTTTTTTCTGCGAAATGTCATCCTTCCAACGAGCATAAATCTGAAATTGTTTGATAGATACTTTACGAGAAATATATAAATACAGAAATCTGCCGAAAAAAAGGATTTCTTTTTCCCCAAACTAATATAAAAACTGTAAACAAATCCCCTAAATAAACTGTTGTATTATCGCGGTAAAATGGAAGTTTACAATTCATCTCTTATTTTTTCTGTTACGTTTTGGGGCTAATTTAAAATAATTTCATTGAAAATATTATTTGAGCCCTAATTAGTTTGCAAAAAATTTAAAAAACACACTGATTGTGATTTACAGAATACATCTTGGGTGAATTGTTTATGACATATTTGTATATTTGACGAAACTAGACCCTAAATACAGAGTTGTATTATTGTGCTACTTAATAAAACGCCGACACCCTATTCTCTTACAAACGCTAAACGCCGTCGATTGTGTTTCAAAACATCTGCCAAATGTGCGTGAGATACATTTGTTTGTATTTGTTTTCATAATTTTTTTTTTCAGTCAGTCAAAGAGAAAGCGGAAAACAGCTAACAATAAACAAAAAAATTTTTGGCATTCAATTCACGACAACTGAAACGGTTAACACAGATTTAAGCGGATAATATTAACAAAAACATTTACAAAATGTTACTCGAATTAGTAGAAAATTATCTCAACTATTATAAACTGAATTTAGTCAATACAATATTTATTGGATTCACTGTAATAATTGTGATATTTGGTTCGCTCATTACGGCCGTGGAATCCATTCTGCCCGATTTCATTAAACAATCCTTTCGTTACGGCAAACATAAACATAATGGTCCCGAAATAACGATGGTATCCCGTATGGAGGTGCCCAAATCATGGTTTAAACATTTCTATATATTTGCTTTCTCCTGGGCAATGTTGGCTCTATATCTGGTGCTCAAGGGTATAATTATGCATAGTACAGCTCCGGAATATGTCATCGAATTTTTAGACTTTATGGCTGGTGGTTCGGAAAATCGTCAGGTGTTAATTAATTCGAATAGTGCGCTGGTGGCCAGTGTCCTAATGGCGTTGCAGTGTGCCCGTCGTTTCTATGAAACGAATTTCGTACAAATCTTTTCAAAGAAAAGTAAAATGAATTTATCCCATTACATGGTGGGGTATTTACATTATTTCGGAGCCATTCTGGCATTGTTGTTGAACACTGAGGGTTTTGTTAAAGGTATGTTAATTTTTATGATGACCATAAACAAATTTGAATTTTAAATTTAATGTTGGTGTTTTTTTATTGTTTTTTTTTTTACAGATTCCCTCCCCTCTTCATTTAGTTTTACAAAAATCACTTTATTACAATATGTCTGCATATTTGTGTTTCACTTTAGCTGGTCCCAACAATATAAATCGAATATGATTTTGGTTAATTTACGTAAAAATCCCAATACTGGTAAAGTGGAAACTGAGAAACATTTGCTGCCAAGTGGAGGATTTTTCCAAGTGGTATCATCACCCCATATGCTATTCGAAATACTTATGTATGTCTCATTGTTGGGTATTGTGGGCAAGAGTTTCACCTGGAAATTGGTTGTCATATGGGTGTTTAGTAATCAGGTGGGCATTTGAAATATTATAGTTAATTATAAATCATAGGATAGAACTCAGGGTTATCTATTAACAATCTAAATTTTTTTTCTTTCTTACAGGTAATGAATGCCCTGTTGACCCACAAATGGTATAAGGAAAACTTCAAGAATTATCCCAAACAACGCAAGGCTTTAATACCATTTTTACTTTAAGTTTATATTTATTTTATATTCAATTCATTCTGTATAATTTATGTATTGTATTACAGACCAAAGTAAGCATTTTTGTTTTTGGTACGTCCAAACATTCCACACTTCACATACATATCTGTAGTACTTAAGTAGCTAAGATCATATTTTATTATCATTAAAGAGCAAGCTTAATTTTGTTTATAATTAAATGTTTCAACTTTGCTCAAAAGTTCAATATATCAAAGACATAAATAATGAAAAAATAAAGTGTTTTTATTTAACTTATTTCGTTAATGATGTCATATAAAAATAATTATATTTTTTAATTAGAGATCAGGAAAGAATCAAAATGAGACCGAACTCCATTAGTCCGTCTGTCTGTTCATTGTGTATCATTATAATTAGTAATTAAAGTACAAGCCAAAGCTATGTACCAACTGTTACGAAGTGCGATTGGTTATAATCCGTTGATAGGGTAATCAAATGCATTATTATACCCTTCACCACACTGTGGTACAGGGTATTATGTCTTTGTGCAATGTTTGTAACAAGCAAAAGGAATCGAGATAGACCCATGGTTCCTTTTGAGAATATGCTTAGAATCACTTTCTGAGTCGATTTACGCATGACCGTCCATCTATGTATTTTTGTGAACAAAGAACAGGTCGCATTTATGATTCGATTTGAATGAAATTTGGCACAGTTCACTTATTTGGCCTAAGGACGAACTCTATTGAAATTGTAGAAAATCGGTTCAGATTTAGATATAGCTCCCATATATAGTTTCTTCCGATTTTATGTTATGAATATTTCAAGAGATAATCAATTTTTAAAATCATTATTAGATAATCATAGAGATAATTTAAACATTGGTCATTTTAATTGCCAAAGTTTTAAAATCAATCAAAATTCATTTAAAGTTAATGAGATCAGGGATATTTTGGAAGGAAATTATTTAGATTGCGTTGGAGTTAGTGAAACATGGCTAAAACCTTACATTTCTTACAATGTTGTGGATATCCCTGGCTACGTTTGCCACAGAAGTGATAGGCCTGATGGCAGAGGTGGTGGCGTTGCCATTTATATTTCACAGAATATTAAACACAAAATTGTTTTTAAAAGCACAATGTTTGGAGTTATTGAGTGTATTTTTGCTGAATTGATTTTTGGAAGAAAAAAAGTGTTGGTTGGGACACTGTATCTTCCGCATGGAGATTTTATTGATATTGAGGAATATTTATCATATTTACTAATAAGATATGATGATGTTGTTTTAATGGGGGATTTTAATAACAATTTGTTTAACTTACAAAAATCGTTTCAAGTGAGAAATATTTGCAGAAACTTAAATTTATCTGTAGTCCACAATTCAATCCCTACCCATTATGATATTGCGCATAAGTCTACATCGCTTATTGATTTTTTTCTATTATCCTCTATAGATAAACTTCGATTTTCTAACCAATTTCAGTGTCCAGGCATTTCCCACCATTCCTTTATATTTGTGTCATTACGCATATCCAAAGCTACATCCTCATTATTTTATGAGTATGTGAACTATAATGCATTAACTTCTGATGAGGTGGGACAAGCCCTAGCGGCTTGTAATTTTTCCAATATGTATTCAACGAACAATGTCGATATGCAGTTGGATATATTCTATACAAATTTGTTTTCTGTGCAATCTGTTTTTCCAATTCACAGACGTAAAATTAATTTTGAACGGAAAGATACTTGGTTCAATGATCCAGAAATTAAGTATAGATTGTCTCTCAGGAACCTTGCCTGGAACAATTATAAGCTCTATCCTACGCCTTTTAATTGGAGAATTTATTGTAGGTCTAGAAATAAAGCTAAGCGGGTCATAAGATTAATAAAATCACAAGTACATTCACAACTTTTTGAAGGGAAAACATCTGCGGAAATGTGGGGATTATTAAAACAACATGGCTTAGGTAAAGAAAAGGATGTAATTGATGTTGATGTAAATGAACTAAATGAGTCTTTTCAATCATTCCAGAATATCGATGGTGGATGTCTTCAAGCTTACTCTGATCTCGTAGGCACATTTTCGTTTCGGTCTGTAGATATAAATGATATAAGGAATGCCTTTTCTCTTATTAAATCCAAAGCAGTGGGATCAGATGGTCTTGCTTTAAAATTTTTAAAGATTGTTTGGCCTTTTGTTGAATTTCACATCAAACATCTCGTGAACACAATCTTAATGACATCCATGTATCCATCATTATGGAAAATAGGCAGGATTGTACCAATTCGTAAGCATGATGCTACCGACTCTTACAGACCCATTTCTATGATGCCGATTCTCTCCAAAATGCTTGAATACCTTATGAAATCACAAATTCTTGAACACCTCAATTCGTCGCTTCTACTTCATGATTCTCAACTAGGTTTCAGGCGTAATCGAAGTACAACTTCCCTACTTATTGGTCTGACGGATCATATTCGTAGTATTGTTAGCCACCGTGGATGCTGTGTTCTGTTGTCGCTAGATATGGAGAAAGCATTTGACAGAATTGAACACTCGGTCATAGTTAATAAGTTGCATTCAACTTTTCAATTTTCTAAATCGGCCTGTCATCTAATGAACTCATACCTTGCAAATAGATATCAATATGTTGCCTGCAATGGAAATTTTTCTGATCTTTTGCCAGTGTTTAGTGGTGTACCTCAAGGGTCGGTACTTGGACCACTTATTTTTATAATGTTTATAAATGACCTCTTTCCTTTAATTTCCAGCTCAAATTGTTTACCATTTGTATACGCTGATGACATACAGCTCCTACTCAAATCTGATTTGGGTTATTCTGATGTTTTGCAATGTGTCATTGACTCATCTATGTGCATTCTATCCCGTTGGCTACAAGACAATAAATTGACCATTAATACAACAAAAACTAAGGCAATGAAATTTGGATTAAAAAATGGTGAAGAATTATTAATCAAATTTAATTACATTGATATTGAATTTGTTGACAGTATAAAATGTCTGGGTTTAACTATTGACAGGCATCTTAATTTTGAAGATCATATAAACTCTTTAATATCAAAGATTAATTTTGTTCTGAGAAAACTATATAATGTGGAATTGAATTTGCCTCTTAGTATTAGATTGAAGATTGCACATGCGCTTATAATGCCAATTTTAATTTATTGTGTGGAAATATATTCAGGAACCATCGGGACATTTATGAAGAAAATACGCCTTGTTTTTAATAGAGTGATAAGATACATATATGGTTTGAATGTCAGACAACATGTTTCAAATTATGTAATACAATTTTTGGGTTGCAATTTTCGTCAATTTATAAATCTACGAATTATAATTCATTTTTATAAGATTATTAAAATACAGTGTCCACAATTTCTTGTGAATTTTTTTAATTTCTCTAGGTCCACAAGAAATCCCCAACTTATTTTTCAACAATTAACTCCAATATTGGAACGTTCATATTGCACTAGGGTTGCTAGGGTATATAATTCATTACCACTTTTTTTGCGAACGTTCAATTTATCCCAATACTCATATCGCAATAAACTCTTACAATATCTTCAATCTCTTGAATAAAAGGCTACAATTTAGCCTTTTTTTGCTTTTCCCTGGGTTTAGCCATATATTAAATATTAAATATATTAATTAAATTCAATATTGTTTTGATTAATAATAAAAAAAATAATAATAATAATTTCCTTCTAAATTCTATCCTTTATTTTTTGGCCATTTTGAGTTATTTTCATACAATTTAATTTGTTTATTTTGAGTAGTTGAATACTGAAGATAAATTTCTGTAATTACTTAATATTTTACTTTAATGTTTTTGTAAGTCAATTCAGAGTAGTTCTTATTCAAATGATTTTTATCTATTACTTTTAATGAATATTTATGGAGCTTGAACAAATGTAACATGAAAAGAAATACTAGTGTTTTAAATTTATATTTTTAATTTGGTCTAAGTTTATTTTGTAGTATACTGGTCATATAAGGCTTTTTGGCTTGGCTTTGAAATGAATAAATAATAATAAATGATGCATCAAACTCCCAATATTTGTCCGATTGTGACAAAATTTTGCACAGCGCACTGAATCATGCCCATACTTAGTACTGAATTATGTCCAGACTGATGTATGCGAAGTTTTGTTAAAATCGGTTCAGATTTAAATATAGCACCCATCCAAGTCTGTCCGTTTGACATGCAAATTTTCATTGATTTCAAAATGGGATTTTTTCAATTGGTTCAAATATCTATCTAGATAGCACATTTAATTTCGCCCGATTGCATCTCAATGGTCCTCCAAAGATTCTATGTATTTTCTATCTACAGGATATTGCAGATATTAACATATCTTGTATGTTCCGTCCGACTTTTGAGCTTTCCTTACTGGTTTTAGTATGATTTTCTGGTCACTCTAGAGGTCACCTATATGATGCGAACATAACAAAATTTTACACAAAAGTTGACCTTTGGTTGTCCTTAAATTTAATATCAGTTATATTCAGGTAAAAGTTCGGACATAATTTTTAAATGATCGAGACACTTTTTATGCTCTTTCATTGTTTCCAAATATTTTTTAAAACTGCAAAATTTTTTTTATAAAATTCACTCAAAATATTTGAAATTCACTTTTCAAATTTTTTATTTATTTAAATCCAATATTCCAAAAAATGTTTGAATAAGTCCACGCTTCAAAAAAATATTTATAAAATCTGAGCTCTTGGAAAAATTAAAAAAAAATTATTAATTAAAAAGTCAGGTTTTCCAAATATTTTGTAAAAAACTCAACGACCATTTTTTTAACAAATTTACGCTTCAAAATAAAATATTTAATAATTCACGTTTCCAAATTTTTTTTAAATTCACACTTCAAAAGAAATACACACTTCAAAAAATAATTTAAAAAAACCAATCTTCAAAAAATATTTAATTTTCTTTTAATCCGAACTGTTTTGGAATTTTAAAAAATATGTTTTACAACACCTACCGTTTGGAAGTCCTTGAAAA